TTGCAACACGAATCAGATAAAGTTGTTGTTGGCATTATCAGGGGCTGTAATGAGGATGATTACGATGATCGGACCAGGCATGAGTGTGCCGGCAGATAAAAATGGCCAAAAGTCTGAGTCTGATAAGATCTCCCTCCTAAGAAAGACACTCATTGGCATAAGGTGCGAGACGAAAGTGTAAGTTATAAGTAAAGAAAACTTAAAACTAAACATAATATGATTTTTGGTATTCAAATTAAGTTTTAATTGATATTTTCTTAAAATTATGTTTAATTTTTGAAAGGAAAACTGAAATTATGTAGGAAATTAATCAATAATCATCCTTAAACTTACTAATTTAACATAAAAAATGAAGAATTAATGTTAAATTTTAAAGGTTTTATATATTTTTAGTCATAACTAAGAATAATAATTAACATTTTAGCCACTTTTTTAATACAAATTTAACATTTAACGAGATAAACTTCAAGATTTCCTCTCAAAAATCAACTTAAAATCATAAATTAACCCACTTTCGGCCTTAACTAACTAACAAACTTAACATTAAAACTTATTTTAAGTTTATTAGTTCTTAAGTTATATATAATTTAGAACCCTTAACCATAAACCCAAGGTCTTAAGAGTTTTTAAACCCTTTTCAAACACAAATCAAGCCATCTAAGCAGCCCACCCAAACGTTTAACGAAACAAAACTGGGCATTGCTTTGATTTATGGTAATGATTTAATTAATTCATTAATCAGTTATTCGTTCGTTATTTATTTTGGCTTGTCGGCATTAATAAAATAATCGCGCCATTCAAGCGAATGTACAACCAGTTGGCTGGCAATAACTTAAATTATGTCATACAGACAGGCAATGGAGAGGGTGGTGGGTGTGTGTGTTTTCATTTCCAAAGATAAGATAAGATAACTCGCTGGCAGTGAGTGTGGGAAGACTTGCATTGATTTAAAAATAAACCTAATTAATATTATTTGTTATTTATAGAAAAGCTTTTTGTTAACAAAACTATTTGTTAGTGAAAAGAAAGCTAAGAAAGAGGGTTAAAATCCAAGTTAATCCAAGTTTTCTCTCATAAACCCCAACTTAAACCTTATAAACATTTCGCTTACTGTCTTTTCGCATATTCCCTGGGATATATACATATATAAGCATGATTCCCTTGGCGTGCGTATCAAAATATAACCATAATAAAAATCGTTATAATGATGCCTCATAAATCGCCGACGATTGCCCTCGGCTTAAGATCGTTGGCCTGGGTTATCGCGCCTGATCCTCACCAGATCATATACAGCGGGTGGATCTTTATATATATATATATATAAGATATATATATATATATATCATATAAAGACCTACCTGAATGGGCCGTAAGGTCCGCGGAGCCACTGTCAATTCAGTGTAAATTTCAACTATTAAATGCCAATTTATGGGGCATAGCTTATAATTTTTTATTATCGCTTTTATAACACCTTCCGCCAGTGGAGACGACACTCAGACTGGGTGGGGGCGTGTCCCTATGCCGCATTTAGCTGCGGCTTAACCCGGTCTTGCCCTGGTCCTGGCCCTGGCCCCGGTCTCTCTCCTTCAGACCCTCTGGCCCTTTGCCGAACCGATCTGTGGCGTGAGAAGAGATTGAAAGAAGGAATTCGCAGATAAATCACACTAAATCATTTCACTCGGACTCGCGGCCAGTTGCATACCCCAGTACAGTGCACGGGGCATGCTGCACATGCTGCAATGTAGTGGAGTCAAGTCGAGTTGAGTCGAGTCGAATCCACCACCACCACCACCAGACAGACAGTCGGTTAGCCAGTCGTCAGACAGCGGTAACAAAAGGCCACTGCAGAAAAGCTGAAAACTGCAACAAAAATACGAGAAAACCTTAAAGTTACTTTCAGGGGATAGAAAGTAACGTGTGAACGTGGGGAATACCTAGCATGTTTTAGGTCTTTAAGGTGCTTAAATTTTATATATTATATAGATCAATTTTATATAGAATTTATATCTTAAAGTATTGAAAGAGTTCTGACTTTTATCACTTCAACTTTCTGGTTTTTTAATTTTATTTTCCTACATTTTGTTGTTTTTTGAGGGAAAACTTCTTCTAAAACTTCTAACTTCTTCTAACTTCTATAAGAATCTCCCTAAAACATGGCAATATATACTACCTTAAGTTAAAAAACAACCAAAATCTATCTTAAGGATGCCCTATCTATGCCTTAACTCCCCTACAACTTCCACTTAACAAAACATTTCATTCAAAAATCACTCTCCAAAGTTAAGTTCCTTCCCCCCATCAACCTTTACCTTTACCAAGTAACCAAACGACCCGAAAACTGATCATAACCCCGAACATAACAAACCAATTGGTATCCAAAAACTGCAACTACAACAACAACAAAGTGAAAAATACAAAAAAAAATAAAAAACAGAAAAAAAAGAAAAACAGAAACAGAGGAAGGTAAAGTTCGCTGCCATCGGCGGATTGCGCATTTTGAACGCCGGCGCGTACTAATCACTCGCATTGTTACACGATCACGCCATGGCATCACGTAGCCAAGGTGAAAGAAGGCCACGCCAGGGGCGGACATTGTAGGGGGGAGGTTGCGTGGGGGGTTGGCTGAGGAAGAGGCGGTACCTGGTTTTAGCGGGAGACAAATAGGCAGCAAATGTAACTGCACTCAGCCGATGGGAAACGTCCAATGTCCAGCTAGCCAACCAACCAACTAACGATTCATCATCATCGACTCTTGGACTCTAATAGCTCGGAAAATTCAAATTGATGGATTTAAATTGCTGGGAAGTTAGACTCGAAGTTAGCTTGAGTAACAAGGAAGGGGGAATTCGCTTTGTAATAACTTTTAAGATGATTTTTTCTTGATTTTTTTTTAGGGGCAACAAAGTCTCTTAAATTTTCCTCCACCTACTTTTTTTAACTTAACTTAATCAGATTTAAAATCAAGAATTTATTTCCCATTTCCAAAGGTTGATAACCCAGACTTTTCTTAAGAATTTTCCTTAACCCATCTATACAAATTTGTTTCCCTTTATCGCAGCTATTTGCCCCTTGTTCTGGGCTCTTGTTTATCCAAACTCAAAGATTGTTTTTTTTTTGGTAGCCAAAAACCAAAAACCAAAAACCAGAAAGACAAAAGGCCGCCAAGGTCAACATACGGCCATGAACCAATTCCCCAAAACCATTGATAGATACTTTTGTATCTTTATCCGATGTTTACGCTAGGCACTGGCGCTGGCGCTGGCTGAGGAGGTCGTCAAGTTTAACAGTTGAAGGTCGCTGGCGGAGGCGTTTTAAAACGCTAGAAAAACGCGGCTAACACACGGTGGGAGTGCGTGGGGGGCGTGATGGCTAGAAGGGGGATAAGTACATTAGCAGATTTATATCCGGCAATAACAACAACAACAACAACAACAACTTGCTAAAGAGCTAATGACTTGGATAATGATTTCAATCTGATTTTCGTTTTTGTTTTCAATTTTCCTGGTTTTTCTTTTCATTTCTTTTTGTTTTCCAATGGCTGTTGGCTTTGTTGTTAGCCTTTTCAATATTTCAGTTTTCAATTTTCTATTTTATTTTATTTGGTTAAGGGGCGGGCAGGGGTAAAGGGGCAGATTCGTGCGTCAATAATTAGATCATCCCCCTGGGCTAGTTGCTGTAGGCGATTAGCGAAATCAAAAGGCAGCAGCCCACAAAGAAAGCGGAACGACAAAAACACAAACATATAGACCGGCTATATACCAAATTTTCATTTCAATTTCTGTTTTGTTTTCCTTTTAGTGATTCCCCTATAGTGATTCCCCCTCTTTTGCAGCACCCATTGTCCATTAGGGATGTACAGTGGGTGGTGGCATGGGACTGAGGGATGGTAAGTAAATTTCCAGAATTATCTTTTTAACATCCGATTTTCCTATTCTATAAGTTCCATAACTTGGTCTTTCGGTGTTTTAGGTATTATTTAAGATTTCAAGAACAACATTCTGTGTTAGTTTTAGTGATATTTCTTAGTGATTAAAACATATAATAACTTAACTTAAAGAATGCCCAAAAATAAGCCTTAAGTTTAAAATCGAAATTTAAAGATTTAAATCCAAAATGAACCCTAAAAGCTTTTCCTGCCTTAATGATTATTTTTTACTATTTTTTTAAAGATTTTTTTAAGATTTTTGTTACTATTTGTCTCCATTTTTTGCAGCTCCCATTTGTCCATTAGGAATCTAAAGTGGGCGGCATGGCATTAAGAGATGGTAAGAGGAGTTCAAAAATTTTTGATTTTCTTTTTAGATTTAGAAAGATTTTTCAAGATTTTTTTTTAGATTTTCCTAACGATTTCTCTCTACTTTTCTCTATTTTATGCAGCTTTCATTTGCCCATTAGGGATGTACAGTGGGCGTCATGGGATTAAGAGTTGGTGAGAGGAGTTCAAAAATGAATCTTTTAAATGTGATTTTTGTAGTCTATAATATGAAACTTAATCCTTAAAAATGTAATAATTAAGATTAAGATTTAATGTTAACTTTTGTTGATTTTTATCACTAATTAATATTATAATTTACACACTTAACTTAAATGGTCTTAAATATGCCTTAACTTTAATATAAAATCTAAAGATTTACATCTAAGATTTAAAATCTAAAAGATTTTTCTAACTAATTTTCTCTATTTTTTGCAGCATTTTTCAGGGCTGGAAAGTCTGGGCAAGGAAAGTCTAAGTTAACCTTCTTAAAAGTGATTTTTCTAGTCTAAAATAAAGTACTAAGTCTGTTCTAGCTTAAAAATTATTCTTTAAGACTTACAAAACTATATTCCATGCTCATTTTTCTTGATGAAACTGACATAAAACTGACCTAAAAATGCCCTAAAAATACCCTCAAACATACCCCAAATTCAAAATCAAATTTAAAGTCTTAAAATCAAAAAGTCGCAGCAAGCTTTTCCTGCTTTCCCTTCTTTCTTTCCCATCTAGTAACGCTGGAAATCAAGTCAATCATTTTCATTCCCAAACCTTTCACAACTTCAGAGAGAGGGTAAAGTTAACAACTAATATAAAAAAAAAAATTAAAGTTTCGCTTTACAAATCGAATTTTCTTTTTCGTTTTTCGTTTTTCCCATCTCGCGTAGTCATGTCCTTTGAGGTACGTATGAAGTGCCGCGAAATGTTGGCCGGCGCCCTCAAGCTGGTCGACACGGCCGAAGGAAGTGCGGATCCCGATGACATGGCCACCCGTCTGGAGGAGGCCATTTACGATGAGTTAAGGAACTCGGAGTTTAAGTACAAGAACCGCATACGGTCACGTCTATCCAATTTGCGTGATCCAAAGAATCCGGAACTTCGTGAGAAGTATATGAGGGGTGAGATTTCTCCGGATACGATGGCCAAGATGACGCCCGAGGATATGGCCACTGATGATCTAAAGCGTATCCGCCAGAGCTATTCCAAGCAGGCCATCAACCAGGCTCAGATGCGTAAGGTCCAAGGCACTAAGACGGATGTGTTTAAGTGCGATCGCTGCCAGAAGCGCAACTGCATCCAGTTGCATACCCAGGATGGTGACGAGCCAATGATTACATTTGTCATTTGCGAAGAGTGCGGTCATCGGTGGAAGGGCTAAGGTGGGGGTGGTTGTTGGAGGAAGGAGAAGAGAAGGAGGTGACTTCAGCTTACAGCAGGCTCTTTTACACTCTTTACAAGGACACGGAGGATAACAGGAGGAGGTAACTTCGTCTTATGAAAGGCTCTTAACACTTCTACCAAGTACAAGAACAAGTTAATGGGCGGAGGAGTACTCGTACACTGGAAACAAAGGAGACTAACATTCCCTAAACACAAAGTTTAACAAAAATAAAAATAAAACCAAACCACCAAAAGCAAAAAGGTAAAAAAAGCCTTAAAAAAGAGATTTTTTGTTCTTATTTATGAGATTTTGAATTGGTTTTTAGAGCTATTAAAATGGAGGATTTTTAATTAAATTAAAAAATATTAAAACATATATTAAGACCCCTAAAAACTATAACAGAAACTAATCTTAAAGAGACAAAATTTCTTTCAATTTTAACTATTTTAAGAAATTGGTTTTTATACTCGTCATTTTAGTACTTTAACTTACAAAATTATAATAAAAACTGGACTTTAAAGTAAGGTTTAAATTCGTTTTTAAAATAATAAATAAATTAAGCTCACTAACTTAAACTCACTTAAATTCTATTTTATAATATTTTTCTATTTAACTTAACTTGTTAGCTTAAACGCCTTGCAAAAGAGCTAATAAAAACTACTTTAAAAGGTAGTATAGTAGTAAAAAAACTACTTTTTAAAGTACTATAGTAGTACAAAAACTACTTTTTGATGTAGTATAAAGTGAAGTAGTAAAGAAGTAGTATAAAAACTACCTTTAAAGGTAGTATAGTAGTATAAAAACTACTTTTTAAAGTAGTATAGTAGTATAAAAACTACTTTTTAAAGGTAGTAGAGTAGTATAAAAACTACTTTTAAAGGTAGTATAGTAGTATAAAAACTACTTTTAAAGCTAGTATAGTAGTAGAAAAACTACTTTTTTACTACTAAGTAAATTTTCAATTTGTTTAAAATTCTAAAAAAACAATACAAATTCTGAGTATTTACGAAAAGGGTATTGAGTATGAGCACCTTAATTTAATATTTACAATTATTTTATCAAGAAAATATAATATTTTCCAGGGTATCAAAGGCTACATCATAAGCTTCTCCCAGTGAACCCTCTTTGTTAGCCTTGGAAAGGCAGCTAAAACAGCGAAGAAAGCAAGAAATTTTGTGTTTTATAAACATTCATAAATATGTTTCTTGTATAAAAAAAAAAAAAACAAAAATCAAAAATTGAAAAAGCAAAAAAAATCAAAAAAGAAAACCCAAAGAAAAGCGTAAATGAAATACAATTTTCGTCTATTAGTTAGCTCTTTAGACTTCAATGAATCACGCCTTTACGATGAGCTCTTGGGAGTGGGTGAGAAACCGATTTAGCATAGGAATGATATATATATACATATAGGAATATATATAGTATATAGTATATAGCGTGGGCCGATTCGGAGTGCAGACAAATTATAGACGTTAAAGACGTTTGGTTTATGGCCACATTAATGGCAATGACTCGGTTTTCGGCGTAATGGGTTTTCAGCTTTTTGGCCATTTCGATTTTGATTTCTAAACAGAATTGGTAGAATGATTAAAGATGCCCCCCCTCTATCACCTCCCCCTTCGTAGAGATAGCTTAACTAATTAATATCCGGCGTCATAAACGCAGCAGGAAAAATGCAAAAGGCGAATCAAGTAAATCGCATTAATTGGCCATTTGGCCAAAAATTAAAATTAAAAACCATTAAAAAAATATCTCAGAGCCACGAATAAACAAAGTGGAAATGCGCCTTTCCCAGGCTTCTTTTTTTCTTTTTAATGTCCGTCTGGCGCCGTTGATCATCACTCCCCCCCTACCACCCACTTATTTTTTTCTTATTTATTTTTATATTTATTTTCTGTTGTTTTTTTTTTTTTTGTTTCTTTCTGCGATCGAAATGTCGCTCAAAAATTGACGACCCTGAAGGCGCCGGCGCCAGCGACAAGTGCGAGAGTCTGCAAAGGTGGCAAGCCAATGGAAAATGGCCAGGAAAAATCAAAGGGGGGCATCAGGGGGCTAGGCAGGCAGACGGTCGGTCGGTCGGTCGGTGCTTTCAAGTGCCATATTTGATGTATAATGTTGGATTATATGGCCAAACAACGAAATGGATTTTGGCCTTAAGGCATTAGCAGTGGCCAAAACACAAACACGAAAATGGGGATGACTGACAACGACAACGTCGAGATGGACATGGAAATGGAAATCGAAATGGAAAAATGGAAATTAAAATGGCCAAAGACCCATGTCCCATATCGATCATAAAACCAAATCAGTTCAAAGCAATGCAAGTAGCCAATAAAATATAATAATAAAATCTAGATGGGGATTGGGTTAGATAAGCTGAAACAAGTTGATGGTTTCTTCTTTGGCAATAAAGGAAAGGAAAACTTTGAGTTTTGCAGGTAAGAAGGAAAATACTAACTAATTTCCAACACTAACTATTACAAAATCCAAGTCAATCTGGCTTATCAACAGATCATAAACTATTATTATTGATTATTATAGTTTTATTACATCGACCATCGACGAAGAATCGCCTACTAAGATTGACCTGTGGAAGCTCACGATCAGAGGGATCAGAGCCCAGCGTTCAGGGTTCAGGGTTCAGGGGGTTATCAACAGGTAGGAAAACAACATGTCCAAACGGAAATTCCCATCATATAACGCTGGATAACCGATGGCCAAGTGCGAAAAACTCGAAAAACAGATGCAGCCTCATAAAAGGGGCGCAGATAAGGTCGCGCGGTTGCGTGGGAAAAGCCCAGCCCTAGCCTGTGCGGTTGGCGCATCATTGCCGGCATATCTTCCAGATATAGAAATCGACCTGATCTCTACCTAGATATCTCTAGATATATCCTTGTGCATGGATAACCAAGGATAAGGGATCATAAAACGGTGTCGCTTTTGTTTATGCTGCTTATTTAAATTGGCTTCTTGGCGGGCGTTGCGACCTGGCAAGTCCCGCGCAATCCATCCATCCATCCACCTCCTACCTGCCCTGGGAATTTCCGTTTCAACCTAACCCATATGGCCACCACGGATGCGTGAGAATACTCCCGTCCCCGTTTCTAGATCATCGTGGGTCCATGACAAAACAATCGGGTTATTGTTGTGCTGCCGTTGCGGCCTTTGCTATGTTTTTCGGAAAATATAACCTGGCCAGGGAAAAACCCTGCCACCAACGTGCGTCATCTGGTCTTGGTCAGGGGACTTGCTGGCTAGCGCACTTGCCCTCTTCCACCCCGTCCAGGATTACGACAGCACCTTCTATGGAACTGAGACGGTGACGGAGACGGAGACGGAGATGGAGAATCACACACCATGACGACCTCTCAACCTTGCATTGGCCATTGATTGATTCGGCCGCGTGTAGGTTTGCATCTTTGATGAATTGTCTCGATGATTGGGAACTACACTGGGAAAATTCTAAAGAAAATTCGTGCTTAAGATTGTGAACTTTGTTTGGGTGAGTTTGGGAAATGGTTCTAGTATCTTATAGGTTGAGTTTTAGGGAGATATTTTGGGGTTTTAAAGGGTTAAAATGCTTTTATCTAAGCTTTCTTCTTTTTAAGGATTCTTAAGTTTTCTGATATTTTGAGGTAAACTTGGCAAAGGATTAACTTTTAGGAAACATATTTTCTTTAAATTTATATAATATTAACTTAATACTTAACAACTATGACTAAGTTTAATCAATAACTAACTTAAAACTTAAAGCAAAGTAAACGTTTTTCTTTTTTAAACTTTTGCTACCTAAAACAGACTCTATCTCACGTTTTTTGAGCACATTTTTAACTTATTTTTAAGCAGTTTTAAACATTTTTAAAAATTTTCCTAACTAAAATATTAAGATCAACCTTTTCTCCAACTGCACTTCTCTTCCAAGACTGCATTCGTTTTGATTTTGATTTATTTGCGGAGCGTTTGTCAATCGGACGGTGATGATGATTAATTGCCACGGTGAATGCCAATTGTCGCCATTGGCTTCGATCTCAGGTCCAAGAGTACCCTTCTCCCTCTACTCCCCCCCTCTAGTTCTGCCCCATCACCACCATAAGTTTCCATTTCCATTTCACATTCATTTGTGGGCGCGTGCTGTGGGGACTCCAAGCCGAGAACAGGCCACACCCGCATTTGCATCAACAAATTAGCCGGCTAAAACATGTAAATCACGTGTGTGGCCACGCCCCATGGGGTATGCCCCTCCCCACCCCCTCTAGGCCAACAAGTATAAGCAGCCACCGCCCTGCAACCCCTCCTGAAACCCCTCTCTGGCAACACCTCCCCCCCTTGGAATACTTGGCATAACTTTGATCTCTGGAATGTGGATGAATTGCCATGTGGGATGATGACCTAGGCGAGAACTTGAGTGCGCCATCGATTTATTGTTTATCGATTGTCGATGATCTAACCTCTTTAATTTGACACTAAGAGCAAAGATTTGGGTAAGGATTGTAGATATTTTAAAGTTAAATTAACTTAAATTGATAACCTAAGTTGCCTTAGCCAAGATTTCCTCTTATAAATCACCTCAAATTCCCTTTGATTCCTTTCGATAACTTCTTGGCTAGAAAAAACCAACAAAGATTCCTTCAAATTAATGATCTCAAGATCGAAGATCAAGTCGTTAGTACATAAAATCAAGTGATTAAGATTAGTCTGACCCAATGTCCCCCTCTAACCATCCATCCAACTTGCCGGAAGACTTTCGTCCCAATTTGAGATCCCAAAGCCTCAGAAGGGGGTAAAGAGGAGAAGGGGATTGGAGGATCAAAACAACGCCCAAAGAGGGCGGAAATGGGAAGATTTCCCTTTGATTGACAAACCGACTCGAAGCCATCAATTTGCCTTTTGCCAGAGCGACCTTGGGTGGGTGGTCTATCGAAGTTTATCGAAATAAATTGCATAATCTTTGGCCTGACAAACCAGAAGAGCCATCAACCTTCAGCTTTCCACCCTCCTACCCCCTCTCCGTTTCACATTTCATTTGAATTTTCTTCTCCTATTTTTTTTTTTTTATGCGTCAGTGGCGATGACGCCAATGGTGGTGGTGGTGGTGCTCAGTGGATCGCTTGGATCCGGCGGTGGACATGGACACACCCACCCTTGGCCAATTACGCCAGTGCGCTGCGCCACTCCCCCTTTGCCCATCCGCCCCCCCTCTCTCTCTCTCTCTGCCTCTCTAGTTTGGGCGCTTTTGTTTTTCCCAGTTTTCTTTTTGTTTTTCAATTTTCATTTCAATTAATC